GGGCGCCACTATCTCACCACATAATAATTACAACAAGAAGAAAATAAAAATTAAATTATGAAATTAAAATATTGTACAACACTGGAGGCGACTCATGACGCTAGCCCAACAAAGGTTATGGCCAACCCAGTGTGCACCAATGCAAGCACAAAAACAAAAAAATCACACAATCACAATACACAGATTAACCAGACAAAAAGAAAATAAATTATATTAAAACTTTCAAACATTTATAAAATATTTAATTATAATAAACTATTTAAACACGCCTTTTCACTTCCCTTGTGAATGCCATAAAACTCAAAGGCATGATGAAACAGAGAAAAAAAAAAGAAAACAATAATAATAAAAAAAACAAATTGTTGATGACTGAATGAAGTATGACCTATGAAGAAGATTTATGTCATTCATTGTATGAAGACCACCCACATGCATTGAAGACCGCGTGCTGGCTTTATATGGCTGGCTTTAAAAGGCTTTATATTTATAGATTACCCATTTTTTCAAGTGCGAATTTGACAGAAATGTTTTGTTCTGTTTTAAATAAAACTCCTGATATTTGAAATCACAGTTTTTATTGTATTTAACCCGTTTAAATAGACTTTGACCAAATAATAACCATTATTTACACAATAAATTATTTAAGTTACCTAGTTACTTAGAAAGATTAAAAGTTAACAAAATGAAGAGAATTAGTCAATTAGGTATCTATTTTGGTCAAATGTATTAGAATACATCAAAATCTATAATAACAGTACCTACGTGCCTTTTGACTTGCGAATACCTAGGAATGTCTTTTGTATATCATGATCAAAAAAAATCCTAAGTACATCTTATTGACACTACCCTTACACGTGAGTCTAATAAATGTCTATATGTCTAGATCAATTGTTATACATATTTATATATTGTCTTTTGTATATAATAATCATATCTTAAGTGTATTAACGACTACTTATTGTGAGTGAGATGTCATACTAACTAGACAAAAAATTAATATAATAATAAATTATGTAAGTGATACTTAGGTGGCCTTACTAGTAGGTAACAACAATATGTCAACTTTTACTTATTTTACAAAATTACATATACTATAGCCAATTTAAATAAACAAACGACAGAAATCACATCAAGGTGGACATGACATTCCTAAAATGTTTGTCTACATAGTTTATACACTCTATTGTTTTCCTTGTAAAATAATTAATTTGTAAAAAAAATATTTACACGTAAATGTATTCTGTTGTGCTGTCATCTGTTAATACTTTTACTTTACTTTCTTACTTAAATATTATTTTCCATAAAATCGGTAGGACACCTATTTAAATAAGATCACAATGTCATTTCAATACTTAACGCTTACATAATAAGTATACGATTGGTAAAGATAATAGATATAATATAATATTTATATAAGATCAAAAGACACTGTAACATGTATATTATGAATTTAGTAGTGACATTCCCATTTTTTAAATACATTTGTAAGTGTTAGTTTCCTCTGAATATACACTCGCGAGAAAAAATATGGAATCACCCTATTTGTTTCGAGCGATCATAAAAACTAAATGACTAATAGAAGACAAATAAAAATGGTACCATTTTCAAGGTAGTATTATGATACACAAATAGTTATTCAGTTCTTAAGATTGCTCGGAACAAAACACAAGGTGCTGATTCCATACTTTTGCTCGTAAGTATAGTTTATAAGTACTTTGTTATGACAAGTGACAACCAAAGTAAAAATAATTAATTAATTTAACTAAATAATGTAGTTTTTACATAATTATACAGTTTGCAGGGAGATCATACGATCATTATTCTTAATATTAATACAAATATTAAAAATTGTAACACATTGTATAACAACAATTTGAAAAATATTGTCAGACAGTTTAAATATTATTTAACAAAAAAATAACATCCAGATAGTTGTCCTATTATAGTCCAATGTTGTAAAGAAGAATATAATTATAGAAGAAATAATAAATACAAAAACACCATGACCATAATTTTTTACATTTTAAATTATCTGTGTAATGTTACATACAGAATGGGTTATGTACCTACTCGTATAAGTAGTTAATTGTTTTCTAATTTTGACAACCTGAATAGAAATAACATTAAAAAACAATGTTTTTACACTAGATTACATTTAAATTTGCGACAATTTGTAACAATGTCTATTATGTTTCTTATAATGTAATTGTATCTATTAATGTAAAAATGAGTAAAATTAATTGATAAGGATTATAACAATGAAACGACCAACTAACTGCACTGTAAAAAAAAATATATTTTGTATATGAACATTACATCATTGTTATTATGTAGGTATTTATTAATAATAATGGTTATTGTTGTAAAACGGGAATATGAAAGTTGTTGCACAATATAATATTGCATATTTTTAATATATTAAGACTTTTATTGATTTAACCCTTATCTCTATCGTCAAACACCATTCAGATTTAAATTCATTTATTTAAAGAGCTCTTTTACAACGTCAGTATGCACACGAACTATTCGAACTTAAAGGTACAGGGAAGTAAATTCTCACTGGACAAATAGTTTCAAAAATTCTAATTACATTAAGTATTTTATCACAATTTCACCTGTCGTTAAAATAAATGTAGACAAGATTTAAGGATCAAGCACACTTATCAACCCGGTAACGGATCGTATGTATCGAAACTCCGTATGTACTGCAACGCACACTTATCCGTACCGTAACGTAAACGCCTCGCTTCGCGGCGAAAGGGGATACGGTGTTGATCCCTTTCCGGGTTGATAAGTGTGCTATGACCTTTACCATTTAACTATAAGTTCCGTAGTTAAAATTGTTTTTATCGGCATTTCGGCACATGCTTTTTAGCACAGACGAAACATAAAATCTTTTTATGTTCTCCACAGATCGGTGTTGAACAATAACCACAAATAATTTTAGACATCCTTCTTATATGAGAAGGGCAATAGGTACAATACTTCCTTTTTCTCAATTCTGGTGGCTCAGTCACTGTCTCTGAAAGATTTATTTCGATGGGATCTTTTACCTTTATCCTTCTGAGCCGTTTTTTAGTTTCAATATATTCTGAAACAGGCATATTTTTTTATCAACCGCACTATTTATAAGAAAGGACTCCGGGACCATAAGCAGTGTCCCCCATCCAGATACGACCTGCAAGCTTTCAAGAGGAGAGCGTATCTTCACCTTAAAGGCCGGCAACGCACCTGTAACCCCTGGGTCTGCGGGTGTCTATGGGCGACGGTAATCACTTACCATCAGGTGATCCGTCTGCTCGTTTGCCTCCTGTCACATAAAAAAAATCCCCCCTACTGTTGTTTTCTCAGGTTTTATTAAGGCTAAGTTGCACTACCTAACTTTGACCGTAACTATAACGATACCCGGTGTTTTTTGTATAGAGATTGACAGATTTTTGACGTTTGTCAAAGTTAAAGTAAGATGGTGCAATCCAACCTAACAGTTATGGCGTAATAAGAGTGATAGAAACAATAAAAAACAATTTGCATGCAAAAAATCTTATTCATGAAAACATCTTGTTTTTAAACATCCTTGTGAAATTTTTTGAAACAATTACGATGGCGAGTCATACATAATGTGACTTTACAAAAACAACACCTGATACTACTAANTTTTCACATATTGTTAGAATAATAAATCAAAACTTTATACGAAGGTACGTACCTACCTAGCTAGACAGACTCACATTATTTCTCATGAATATTTCAGGTAAGTAATATCGTCAATTTCACAGAATTCTTTTATTCTAAATTTATACTATCGTTTTTAAATACTTAATCATTATTAAAATATCCTAACTCGATGCGTAAAACTTTATCCCGAAATAGGGGACATGAGTTCACGAACTTAGAAACAGAGCAAAATTTTATCACGAAACAGGATCCAAACAAGAGGTCCGCAGAACAATTAATATTAAAAAAAGTTTAAACAATATAACTATAATTTATGTATTAAGTTACTGTCAAAAAACCAAACTTTAGCATACAAAAGCTTTCATACTGATATCATCCTTGGTTATTTTTAAATAAAATGTTAAAATCGTAAGAGCCTTAATATACCGAAGTAGGGGGCACTTACCTTATTTCGCAAAACTTCAAGCGATGGGAGCAAAGGTTTTTGCTCTATTTTAAAGCATCGGGGGCTGAAGAAAGATTGGATGAACATGTTCAAAATGCTTTGCTTCTACATGTTATTGGAGACGATGCATTAGAGGTCTATAACACATTTAAGTTTGAAGTGGACAAAAAAAAAGAGATATTNAAAATTAAGCTCGCAGAAAGTCTAGAATTAAGTGAGGCAATGGAGGAAATCATTTCGATAAATCGACACCGATTTAAAATGTATGTTATTGAAAAGTCTTTAAAGCAGAGGTTCCTCGACAATGTTTCCCCTTATTTATCTATTGCTTATTTTAAAACAGACAGTGTTAATCGTTCGTTCATTTCAGCCAAATGTCGTCCACTGCTGGACAAAAGCCCCCCCAAGGTTTTCCACAATGAACGGTCCTGCGCTGCCCGCATATAGGCTCTTCCCGCGACCTTACTCACATTTATATAATAATTAATTACTTGGGTTACTTATCTAAAAATACTCGTTTATCAAACGAAATTATTATTTTAAGGACGCCTAACTGCGCTTCTAGTAGTGGCTGGAAAGTACGAGCATCATTATTTTTGCGGGAGTCTAGACATACAGCAGTTGACCGCCATTTGCTGATGATTGTTATGGTGATGATTTTCCCTACAGGCCTTTTTCCTGCAATGGAATGTTTCCTGGATAAAAAAGCTAGAGTTTGAATTAGTCCTTCAGTTACCTTAATCAAAAAATACTCGACACATATTTTTCACTTTCTCAAAATAATGAATATTTAAAGAATTTGTTTGAAATTTTGTAAGCGGTTTTCACCTAAATATTAGGTTTTCATAAACGTTTTCTTATCATGACTTCTTGTCCCCAGAATGCAGCTGCAACGGCCACGCCCGCAGATGCCGGTTCAACATGGAGCTGTATAAGTTGTCCGGCCGCGAGTCCGGCGGCGTCTGCATCAAGTGCCGGCACTTCACCGCCGGCCGGCACTGCCACTACTGCCGTGAAGGCTACTACAGAGACCCTACGAAGAAGATCACGCACAAGAAGGCTTGCAAACGTGAGTTCGTTCGTTCGTTACAGCCAAATGATGTTCACTGCTGGACAAAGGCCTCCCCCAAGGATTTCCATGACGACTGGACCTGCGCTGCCTGCATCCATGTTTGTCGTCCACCTAATGGGAGGCTGCCCACCACGCTACGTCTTCCGGCCCGTGATCGCCACTCGAGAACTTTTCTGCCACAACGGCCATCAGCTCTACGAGCTATGTGCCCCGCCCACTGCCACTTGATTTTAGCGATTTTGCTCGAACAAGACAATAATTTAAAATGTTTAAGACTCTGGGCCAGTATCGGCGGTTCTTGATATAGTTACTCACAGTATCATAAGTATAACTTTACAAATGTTGCGTTTTGTCTGACGATAGAGTCCCTAATACCTTGGCTATCAGGTACTGCATCAGCAACCCTTAATAAGTAGAGTATAATAACTACACCCTCGCCCAAATCCTACGCCACAAAATCTCAAGATCGCCGCAATACGAGTACTTAATAATGTTCTTTCAAGCCAAGTTCGATTGTTAAAAGTTAATAACGAACCACTTGACGTCCCTTTAGAAGAGAAAAATCAAATGAGGATTTAAAACGAAAATTGGAAATGAAAGAAGACCGATTTCAATAATTGAGAGGCATTTAAAAGTTAGTGAAGTCCTCACTAATAAATACAGATAAAAATTTCATTCCCTAACTTAACAAGGACTCAGAAGATATAAATCATTTACATAAGAAATATAGTGTGCCTATGTTACAGTGAAAAATTTACATTCGTACCTAGTATAAATCGAGAGACTCGCGATAAATGATAAATAAATTATTGGCATTACTATTATATTGGGTTAGCCTGTGAAAATAGTAAATGTGTGTGTGTAAATAAATAAATAATGCAATAAGCCAAAATCTATCTATCTTGTGGTGACTGAGTTTGTTGCGGCGCCTCTTCTCAGCACTTGCCAAATGTTTGTCTCGAAGCGCTGGTAGGGCAAAAAATAATGAGACATAGAGCATTTGACGACTTGTAAGTACACTAATTTAATTAGTCTACACAAATAAAGATTATTTTGATTTGATTTGATTATGCAGCCGAAGTCCCTAGTTAGTTTAAGTCCGTGGAAAACAAAAGTAGTGTAGCAAATAAAGCGGTGATAACAAGGGAACTTTTACTGTGAAAATTCAAATGTTTAAACAAACATAACATCGAATTTAAATTTAACTATAAACCGTACATAGAATGCTATCATTACACTATTAACCCTAAAACGTTAGTGGCCGCTGCCGTGGCAGAAATGGCCCGAATCGGCCGAATAGACCGAAACATCGTAACTCCATAGCTGCAGGGTTGAACGTAGGGTGACCACCACGCTGACCGCGTGTTGGGGGATCACCCGAGACAGGAAGTAAATAGTGGACAAAAAATAGCCCACCAGCATTTTTGTGGTTTACATAGTATTTAAGATAAAATAAAATGTTCTCAGAAATTAATAATAGTGGACTATTTTTTTTTTCATTAATAATGTTCTTCGTACCTGTTTAATATTTTTATAAAGAATTAATTTTTAGTTGGTCCAAAGTAGGTTCAGTTCAGTTTTTCCTTTTTCAGTGTTATTTTGTACCCGATATTTTTCTTTATAAGAAAAAAATATTGTGTCGAAATCAATGTAAACTTAACAACAAGTAGCTTGTATATGTAAAAACTAGTATAACATTAAACATAAACTATTTTAATAGTAGTACCTACTAGTTAAAGCCAATTTGCATAGGCAGAGATTTTATTATTACATCCTCCTGCTCAACTTGAAAAGAAAAACTTCTTCAAGAAGGAAAAAATACGCTTTTGCTTTTGTAACATCTTCATAGGTACGTGTGAAAACAAATAATAGTTTTATCAACCCCCTTGCTCTCTAGCCTCTTCCCCATCCCGGCACTCGTTACGTCGGCTACCGCCATAAGAACTCCCATAAACCCGTTAGGCTTGGGGCCCCAACAAATCGGTCCCCGGGGCCCTGGGGTGTTTGTTCGTCCGGACTCAGCAATTTCGGCCCATGTTCGGAGGTATTGGAAAAATAAAGGAGGGCCCTTCGGACGTGATAGGGTGAGAATACGGTGTTGAAATAACGTATGGATTGAGTGTCATGACTTCAGTGTTTGTTGGAAATGTTTTCTTGCCCAGAGGAAAAGGTTTCACTTTCAATATGATGTTGTGATATCTGAAGATATGAATTTGAAAGCGTATGACTATGAATACAAGGCTATTTCTATCGATGAAGTTTTATGTGCATTTTGAAACTTCTAAGCACTCCTTAATCTTGAATAGGTATTTATGTGTAATCTAAAAGAATATAATATGGTGAAGATATTCTAATAAAATATTAAAAAAAAAATGTATATTATTGGTTGCGGAAGAAATACCCTTTTCATGCTATAGTTTGTGCTGGTCGTTAATATTATAATTTAAAAATTAAATGTTTGGAACATAATTCCAATTTCACTGTAAACTAAATTCACAAACAAACCATGTCCATAACTTATCCTTTCCCCAAAGAAATATCTGAACAAAACACAAAACCGCATAAAATCGGAAACACAATTTTCTGTTCAAAGTTCGGTCCGACTTTTCACCCCCATAAAATGGCGGGGTCAGCCACTGGAGACAGTTTTCGGTGATTGGGTTGCTCTCCCATCCCATTGTCGGGATTAGAAAAGGAATTGAAACGAATCCTGTGTATCGAATTTTGTGGGAAGATGATTTACAGGATCGTAAATAAACTCCGAAGATCGCGGACTCGATTTCCTCAACCGATCACAGTGATGGTCTGTTTTGAGTAGGTGTGTATGAAGACGTATCCCTTTCATCGGCACGCGTGGGCGCACTGGTTTATTGTGCAGATAATTTATTGTAGGAGCAAATTAATAAGGCGTGGATGATGAATCTATATTCGAAACGAAACGCATTGGTGATTTTGTTAACTATCAAGTTTATTCTCGTTTATATTTTAACGAACTCCGCCATGGAAGTAATTTGATGTGACGACAAATCAAAATCGGCAAGCCTTCGGAAGGCATGCGACTTTGCTCTCGTAGGTTTCTGCTGTTCTAAATATCAATCATCAAGCCTCAAACTAATCAAATCCTCAATGGGTTTAGGTTGAGAAATCTGTCTACCCACTTGTTGGACGTATCTACAGACAACAGCATATTATGTCACTCTACATTTTTTTGCAAAGGTGCTCCTAAGATGCCACAATGTTAAGCTTGACGTGCCTTGTATACATGTAAGTTTGCTTTGCTATTGCTGTTATTCGTCACTAACTAAATCTTGTTGTCCAGCATGTGACTGCCACCCGGTGGGCGCGAGCGGCAAGACGTGCAACCAGACGAGCGGGCAGTGCCCGTGCAAGGACGGCGTCACCGGCACCACCTGCAACCGCTGCGCCAAGGGCTACCAGCAGTCCCGGAGCCACATCGCGCCCTGCATACGTAAGCTTGTCAAAATATTTTAAACTCTTCTTCTTCTTCTTTTCGTGTCGACAACAAACCTACACAGTGTCAGCACAAAACTCCGCCACAAGAGTGGCGTTGTCAGCAGCATTCATCAAATCCTCCTGAGTGCATTTGCTCTCTTTCCATGCTGCATTAATTTTAAAACTGAGAGCAACGGACTCAAGACTTTAGAAGTACCTTAAGATTGACGTTTATTTAATAAGTAACAATTTGAGTGTATTAAGATCTACAAGCCACGATTTGTAAGTAACAACATAGCCTAAACATCGCGCTTGAGTCCTATTTCTCTCAGTTTTTTCACCATTAATATCGCTGACACATTAGGCTATGTAGTAGGAGATATAATAAAAAAATGTGATACCTACTCATTCTTCGCATTTAAAGAGAAAAGCTGGCATTGGATGTGCCATGGAGTCAATTTAAAAATCTAATCTGAAGAAAATGTAAAATCTGCTCGTAACAGACTATTCTTTGCAAAGGTATTTTTTGTCATCATCTAAAACTTCGCAGTGAGTGCGCAGCCCTCTGCAAGCTTAACATAATGTGTTTCTTTAGATTATCTCAATAATACTTAACTGTTGTCTCTGGGCAGGCATCCCACGCGTGGTGACCGCGGTGCAAGCGATGGAGGCGGTGGACGGCGAGCCGGGCCGCGGTAAGTAGTAAGTGGACATTCATTGCACTCTCGCCTCACGCCACCGCACCGCCGCACTCGATTGACTGAACATTGTCCTTTGATTACTGCTGTACTGCTGTAACTGCTGTCTAAATTTTGATCGCAATCTTCTCGATTCGATTATGGATATCTATGATCATTTATTTGTAATGAGTAACTCAAGTACCTACTCAGAAACTTAAAATTCTTCGGGTTCGTAGTAGTTTCGCACGATTTTCCTAAGCACCAATATGCAAAATGTGCGAAACGTCCCCTTTCAATAATAATTTTTTTAGTAGGCGTTTCGCCCGGATTTATCAAAAGTATTAAAAACGGGTGCAAATCGACCCCTTTGAGAACTAGTAATCGCATACTACTAGTTCAAAAAAGAGTCGATTCGCACGAGATTTTAATACTTTTAATACATCCGGGCGAAACGCCTACTAAAAAAACTATTATTGAAAGGGGACGTTTCGCACATTCGTGCGAAGGAAAATCGTGCGAAACTACTACTAATCTTCGAGCAATAAATTCTGAGGAATAAAACTAGTTTCGTAAAATAATGGCAGCCAGCAGTCCTGCAAAATTTATAACGACATATAAAATTATTGCATTTACTTCAAAATATTGCGATCGAGTGCTGTTGAAAAGAGTGTATGTACCTACTTTTTGTATTTACTTTAATAAACATAATATTATAAGTACTTCAATTTCTGTGACACTCTTGTCTTCAAGACGACTCAAAAATAACACCTTTAAACTAAACCCTAAGGGGACTGAATTTTTTTGAGTTGTCCTGATAAGTTGTCACAAATCTATATTAATTGGTCACCCTACATGATTTACATAAATTCGTACAGACACTCTTGTTTATTTTTATTAATTTGCACTTTGATATTAAAATACTGTATTCTGTTTCATATTAACGGTTTCGTTTATTTTAACAATGGACATCGGTCTATGCTGATTAAACACTGCCATGAATTATTTAACAGTTTGTTGACAACAATATTGTCATCATAAAGCAGACTACATTATTTTATTTTCTTGATTTTATCAGGTTTCATGAATAAAGTTATTTTATGTAATATTAGTTTGATAGATAGTATAGAAGGGTAAAAATATCTCTCCTGACACAGGTTACAGAAATCTGGAGATAAACTATAAATTCAGAAGTAATTGTTTTGAATTAGTACCTACATTAATTTCTAATTCGATAGTTACTTTTTTGGCAAGAAGACGCCTATCTATACTTCTCATTAATTACTAACTCCTTACTGTATAACTTAAATTCAGTGTATCTGTCAACAGCTTTTCGGGAACCAAAATCAGTTTAATTCAGGGTGTGGTTTTGTATAACAACGCCCTGTATAAACAGGACTATTTCCTTCCAGTTTCAAATAGTGATTTATTTATCTATCAGTAGTAGTAGTTAATATGGTGTAGCTCGATTAAGGAACATTATTAACTAGGCTAGAGGCGAAAACCGCTGAAAAAAAAAACAAAGTTTTTTTACTTTTCTCGATTTTAATTCCCGAAAAGACCGCGCAGTCTCAAAAAACTTCATTTTTTACTGCATCAATTGAGATACACTAATTTTAAATTGATAGATTAATCATTAGAGTCTTAGGGTCCTTTAGTTAGAGACTAATGCATGCTCGTTGATTGTTGTGATACTGTTCATATTTAACCCTTAAATTGTTTTTGTCCGTTTTAAAGGACATGTCAAATAATTGCTTACAGAATCTAAATTATAGCAATTTATCGACTTTCAAGGGATATTTTATAAAAAGCATGATATTTTATGTGAAACACTGGGCTGTAGTTCAATAAAAAGCCGCGATTTTTTAAAATAAAGACAGTTGAATAAATGCAATAGCAATGTCAAGTTTTCACTCTTGATAAATGTGGCAATACTGTAGGTATTACACTTGTTCTTGTGCTTTATTGATTGATTTTAGAATATTAACGAATAAAACTGACGGTTATTGCCAAACTGTAAAAAAATATCGATTTTTTTCCATTCATTTCAAGGTTACAAATGTTATGTCATTTAAAACGGACAATGCCATGTATCAGTAATAAATACTCATGTTGATTTTTAGACATTTTTACCCAATTTCCCCCTTTTAGGGGTTGAATTCTGAAATAACCTGAAACACGTGTTTATTCATTTATCGATAGGAATGTATCCTGTAAAGTTTCGAATTAAATAGTGTAACTAATTTTGTTTCGCCCTACAAACTTTGGACCCCCATTTCACCCCCTTAGGGGATAATTTTGGAAAAATCCTTTCTGATAACACCCCTAGACCCTAATAAGGAAGCTACATGCCAAACTTTGTGTCTTTGTACCCACCGGTTTGGGATTTATGTTGATAAATCAGGCAGTCACTTTCTGTTTTTGTATGTCAGGGTATTTTTTGATAAATTTATGTAAAATCAACAGTAAATAGTCCAGATGGATTGCAAAAGGCGCTGGATTAGCCAGAGGATGATTATCAGGGATTCCTGTATTGTTATTAAGAAAAGTTGTTTTACGTTTGTTTTTCTACACTGGCAATGTCCGCCCTAAGTGACATGATTGTAATGCTAAATAATTGGCAATGTCCGTTTTGAGTGACATGTCATAACTTCTATACTAATTAATTTTTTTTCAAAAAGTAAATATTTTTTTCTTAATCTATCAAAACAATACCTAAATCCCAAATTTGACCATTTTTGAAGCAAGGGTTCAATGAGTGCCAATTTAAGGGTTAACATTATTTTAAGCTTGTTCTCATCGTTTCATTAACTCATTTGTTTGTGTTTAACGTGTCAGTGCTGAATGGAAGGTAACTCATTCATTTCTTTCATTTACTATGTATTTATGTGTATGACGTAGAGAGTTTTTACATGGGTGACTGAACCACCGTGTGAAAGCGTTCTTATAAAATTAACCCTCAGATCATAATATTATTAAAATTGTACTCAGATAAATACTTGCACAATTAGTATTTCCTCGTATTATTAGTTATAACTCCATTGAATAGTTTCCTGATAGATCCCTTTTGATTTGTAACTACAATAATAATATGAAAGTAACGTGACATAACATGGTTGTATTGGTAAGGTTTTCTTATAAGCATGGTGTTTAAAAGTTGATAAAATTATTTGCAAACTGATAGGTGCCTATTGCACAAATAAGTAGTATTAAAAATCCCTCTGCTTTGAGTTAATTCGAAAGTTGTTTTTTTGCAAATATCGTCTCTACAATCTGTATTATTCTTTCCACTATGGCTACTTTAACCTTCACCTGAATAGGTACCAGCCACTAAAAGTTCATTAAAAGTCATAACAGTCATTTACTCTAATTAGGCTTTTAAAATGCTCTTACATGTCCCAAGTACAATTTGACCCTGCCACTGCTCCGGGACAATTATTTGGCCAGTGCTGAAATAAAGCCGACCTTACTTGAAACTGGGTAACTTTTATCAGCCCTTCAAGGGTATACAAAAGAGTTTACATTGATGCCCTCTCTCCTCCCTCCTAGAATAATAATAATAATAAATAATAATAAATAACTTTATTAACACACATTACAATTAGAAGGGTAAGGCACACTGTTCACGGTCAATCACTTGACGACTGCATGCACACCGCATGACAATCGTAAGACGACGCAACTCGCGCTCGCGCTCTGTGGACACAGTTTTGGTTATTTTTAAGCAAGATGCAAGCAAACGTCAATTGGCAATAGCGTGCGTATGACGTGCGTTTACGTGGACAGTAGGCTTAAGAGTGAACTTACCTGTATTCGTATTGCAGCAGCGGATCAGTGCGGACGGTGCCGCGCCGGCGCACGCACGCTAAACCTCAACAAGTTCTGCAGCCGAGACTACGGTTGGTATACCTACCCACTACCCTCATTACTCCACCAGTACTAAGAACTGACGATCGATGGGACATTATGGTTCTGGAATTGAGGCCACGTGCTGACATGTGCAGCTTGGGATGGGACGTTCACTGGTGAACAGATGGCCTATTATAGTATAAATGTTGCATTAAGACGCTGATTTCAGGCGACTATAGACCAGTCAATCTGGAAAACACTGGGAGAGTCCTAATTTCAACAGTGGACGCCCTGTGGCTGATGATATAAACAACACTCACTTATCCCTTAAAACAAAAAGGGAAGCTATACAGTACTGGCTGGCAATGCCATAATCCAGGCCCTACAGCGCTACGTAGGTTGATCCGGTGAGCGAGACGTAGTGAAGGGGTCCAAATTTCATGTCGAAAAGTGACAGTTTACGTTTTAATCTATGCGCTGGAAGCGGGCCACTACCAACCAACTAATCTGGAAATCATAGGCTCATGTTCAGCAGTGGAACATCCTGATTCCTGAGGCTAAAATAATGATCATGATGATAACCCTACTTCATCATACTATGCCATAATGGGCAAATGATAATAATGATGAGGACGACACACTAACCCTCTAATTCTCCTGCAGTCATAATGGGCAAGGTGGTCGGTCGCGAGGCGGCGGCGCGCGACGGCGAGTGGGCGCGGCTGACGCTCAGCGTGCAAGCCGTGTACAAGCGCGCGCCGCGCTCGCGCCTGCGCCGGGGCAGCGTCGCGCTCCACGTGCGCGCCAGGGACCTCGCCTGCAAGTGCCCTAAGCTCAAGATCAACAAGTAAGATCCTCGTGTATAGATGCTATTTCGTCTCCCTACCCTAGCCCCCTAGTTCTGCTCCAGTTATAAAGGGTAAGGTGAGCGTGCCGGGGCAGCCTTGCGCTGCACGTGCCCTAAGCTCAAGATCAACAAGTAAGCTCGTTTCCCTAACCCCTACATCTCCTCTAGTTATAATGAGCAAGGTGAGCTTGCAGAACGTGTACAAGTGAGCCAGGGACCTCGCCTGCAAGTGCCTTAAGCTCAAGATCAACAAGTAAGCCGTCTCCCTAACTTCCTACTTCTCTGTCTGTCTGGGTAAAGTGAGCGTGGAGAACGCTTGTACGCGCACAGGACCTCACCTGCAAGTGCCCTAAGCTCAAGATCAACAAGTAAGTTCCTCGTCTATAGATGCTTTTCCGTCTCCCTGGTTCTCCTCCAGCCATAATGAGCGAGGTGAGCATGCAAGGGCAGCATCGCGCTCGCGCTGCACGTGCGCGCCAGGGACCTCGCCTGCAAGTGCCCTAAGCTCAAGATCAACAAGTAAGATCCTCGTCTATAGATGCTATTTCGTCTCCCTAACCCGGGTACTTCTCTGTCCAGCGTGCAAGCCGTGTAAAAGCACGTGCGCACTCGGGACCTCGCCTGCAAGTGCCTTAAGCTCAAGATCAACAAGTAAGCCGTCTCCCTAACACCCCCACTTCTCTGTCTGGTCATAATGGGCAACTTTAGGGTGCCGGGGCATCGTCGCGCTGCACGTGCGCGCCAGGGACCTCGCCTGCAAGTGCCCTAAGCTCAAGATCAACAAGTAAGTTCCTCGTCTATAGATGCTATTGGCTATTCTGTCTCCTTAGCCCCCTACTTCTGCTCCAGCCATAATATAAAAGCACACGTGCGCGGCTGGGACCTCGCCTGCAAGTGCCCTAAGCTCAAGATCAACAAGTAAGATCCTCGTCTATAGATGCTATTTCGTCTCCCTAACCCGGGTACTTCTCTGTCCAGCGTGCAAGCCGTGTAAGAGCACGTGCGCACTCGGGACCTCGCCTGCAAGTGCCCTAAGCTCAAGATCAACAAGTAAGCTCGTCCCCCTAGCTCCCTACTTCTTTGTCTAGCCATTAATGGGCAACTTTAGGGTGCAAGGGCAGCGTCGCGCACCAGGGAAGCGCGCTAAGCTCAAAATCAACAAGTAAGCTCGTCTCCCTAGCCTCATACTTCTGCTCTAGTCATAATGGGCAAGGGGAGGGTGCCGGAGCAGCCTTGCACTAGCCAGGGACCTCGCCTGCAAGTGCCCTAAGCTCAAGATCAACAAGTAAGATCCTCGTCTATAGATGCTATTCCGTCTCCCTAACTCGGGTACTTCTCTGTCCAGCGTGCAAGCCATGTAAAAGCGCGTGCGCACTTGGGACCTTGCCTGCAAGTGCCCTAAGCTCAAGATCAACAAGTAAGATCCTCGTCTATAGATGCTATTGGCTATTCTGTCTCCCTAGCCCCCTACTTCTGCTCCAGCCATAATATAAAAGCGCGTGCGCGGCCGGGACCTCGCCTGCAAGTGCCCTAAGCTCAAGATCAACAAGTAAGCTCGTCTCCCTAGCCTCATACTTCTCCTCTAGTCATAGTTGGTAAGATGAGCGCGCCGGGGTAGCCTTGCGCTGCACGTGTGCGCCAGGGACCTCGCCTGCAAGTGCCCTAAGCTCAAGATCAACAAGTAAGATCCTCGTTTATAAGTGCAATTCCCTCTCCCTAGCTCTCTACTTCTTCCTCTAGCCATAATGCCCTAAGCTCAAGATCAACAAGTAAGCTCCCTGTCTATAGATGTTATTCCGTTTCTCTAGCCCTCTACTTCTCAGTCCAGACATAATTGGCAAGGTGACCGTGCAAGCCGTGTAAAAGCGTGCGCCGCGCTCGCGCCTGAGCGCCAGGGACCTCGCCTGCAAGTGCCCTAAGCTCAAGATCAACAAGTAAGATCCTCGTCTATAGATGCTATTGGCTATTCTGTCTCCCTAGCCCCCTACTTCTGCTCCAGCCATAATATAAAAGCGCGTGCGCGGCCGGGACCTCGCCTGCAAGTGCCCTAAGCTCAAGATCAACAAGTAAGCTCCTCGTCTACAGATGTTATTCCGTCTCCCTAACCCGGGTACTTCTCTGTCCAGCGTGCAAGCCGTGTAAAAGCACGTGCGCACTCGGGACCGCGGCTGCAAGTGCCTTAAGCTCAAGATCAACAAGTAAGCCGTCTCCCTAACACCCCCACTTCTCTGTCTGGTCATAATGGGCAACTTTAGGGTGCCGGGGCATCGTCGCGCTGCACGTGCGCGCCAGGGACCTCGCCTGCAAGTGCCCTAAGCTCAAGATCAACAAGTAAGNTATGACGTGCGGTTTACGTGGACAGTAGGCTTAAGAGTGAACTAACCTGTATTTGTATTGCAGCAGCGGATCAGTGCGGACGGTGCCGCGCCGGCGCACGCACCCTAAACCTCAACAAGTTCTGCAGCCGAGACTACGGTTGGTATACCTACCCACTACCCTCATTACTAAGATAAGATAAGACAAGATAAGATAAGATAAGAAAAACTTTATTTGACACAAAGAGAAAAAAATAGAACAAAGGAACTTAAAACTATACACGCATATTTTGTGTCAAAAAGGCGCCCGCTCAGCATTAATCGAGCCACGCGTGCATGCACGCGTGCCCCGACGCTGGTTTTCAGCGGGTGCCTCTTCTCCAACCAACATTTAAATTAAAAAATAACACTAAACAAAACATTGACAAAGACATTGACAAAGAGGGCGCCACTATCTCACCACATAATAATTACAACAAGAAGAAAATAAAAATTAAATTATGAAATTAAAATATTGTACAACACTGGAGGCGACTCATGACGCTAGCCCAACAAAGGTTATGGCCAACCCAGTGTGCACCAATGCAAGCACAAAAACAAAAAAATCACACAATCACAATACACAGATTAACCAGACAAAAAGAAAATAAATTATATTAAAACTTTCAAACATTACTCCACAAGATCTATTGGGTCTTCCTACAATGATGCAATGACTACAGTCCTATCAACTTAAGCTGAGAATTGCATTTGTGTGAGTGATCGCCAAAAGTACCGTTAGTAAAACACATACAAATAAAATTTATGTTTTATTAAAAGGAAGTCTATAAAACACTTGCTACCAATTGGGCCGATGTAACGACACTTGACATATCCTTTTAAATAAATAAATAAATAAATAAAAACAGGTCCTCGCTCAGCATAATATGCCAATTGCCAAGGCACGAGTACCTCGACGCTGATATTCTGCAAGCACCTCTACACTATTGCCACTCTACACTATCGGTGTTCACTCACACAAATGCAATTCTCAGCTTAAGTTGAGAGGACTGTAAATTACTCTAAGTTTTGTGAGCCTTCATAGGCTTCTGATAATTAGAACTGACAGTATGGTTCTGGAATGGAGGACTGGCAATCGAAGCCTGCGACGTCCACACACAAGGGGACAGATGACCTTATAAAGGTTGCAGGAAAGCGCTAGATGTAAGCCGCTTCCAACTATCCAATCTGGAAACCATTGGGAGATGCGCAATTTCAACAGTGGACGTCCTGAGGCTGAAATTATGATGATGAAACACACTTATCTCTTAAAATTAAAAGGGAAGCTATCCACTACAGGCTGGCATTGTAATAAACTAGGTCCTGCAGCGCTATATAGGTCGATCTGGTCAGCGAGACAGCGAAAAGCTCCAAGTTTCGGATCGCAAAGTGACAGTTGCCGCACGCGACGCTAGTGCCGTATCTTCCCTTTATGTTTTAATCTAAGCGCTGGATGCGGGCCACTACTAACCTGCTAATCTGGAAATCATAGGCCTATGTTCAGCAATCAACATCCTGGGGCTAAAATAATAATGATGAAGAAAACATCCCTACTTCTCTCTCCATCATTTGGCCTATGTTCAGAAAAGGATATTCTGAGGCTGAAACGATGACAGTGATGAAGAAAACACACTCTAACCCCTTATTTCTCTTCCAGTCATAATGGGCAAGGTGGTCGGTCGCGAGGCGGCGGCGCGCGACGGCGAGTGGGCGCGTCTGACGCTCAGCGTGCAAGCCGTGTACAAGCGCGCGCCGCGCTCGCGCCTGCGCCGGGGCAGCGTCGCGCTCCACGTGCGCGCCAGGGACCTCGCCTGCAAGTGCCCTAAGCTCAAGATCAACAAGTAAGCTCGTCCCCCTAGCTCCCTACTTCTTTGTCTAGCCATAATGGGCAACTTTAGGGTGCAAGGGCAGCGTCGCGCGCCAGGGAAGCGCGCTAAGCTCAAAATCAACAAGTAAGCTCGTCTCCCTAGCCTCATACTTCTGCTCTAGTCATAATGGGCAAGGGGAGGGTGCCGGTAGCCTTGCACTAGCCAGGGACCTCGCCTGCAAGTGCCCTAAGCTCAAGATCAACAAGTAGGATCCTCGTCTATAGATGCTATTCCGTCTCCCTAACTCGGGTACTTCTCTGTCCAGCGTGCAAGCCATGTAAAAGCGCGTGCGCACTTGGGACCTTGCCTGCAAGTGCCCTAAGCTCAAGATCAACAAGTAAGCTCGTCTCTCTAGTTCCCTACTTTTCGCCAGCCATAATGGGCAAGATCAGTGTGCAGGGGCAGCGTCGCGCTACACGTGCGCGCCAGGGACCTCGCCTGCAAGTGCCCTAAGCTCAAGATCAACAAGTAAGATCCTCGTCTATAGATGCTATTGGCTATTCTGTCTCCTTAGCCCCCTACTTCTGCTCCAGCCATAATATAAAAGCACACGTGCGCGGCCGGGACCTCGCCTGCAAGTGCCCTAAGCTCAAGATCAACAAGTAAGATTCTCGTCTATAGATGCTATTGGCTATTCTGTCTCGCTAACCCCCTACTTCTGCTCCAGCCATAATATAAAAGCGCGTGCGCGCCAGGGACCTCGACTGCAAGTGCCCTAAGCTCAAGATCAACAAGTAAGGTCCTCGTCTATAGATGCTATTCCGTCTCCCTAACCCGGGTACTTCTCTGTCCAGCGTGCAAGCCGTGTAAAAGCACGTGCGCACTCGGGACCGCGGCTGCAAGTGCCTTAAGCTCAAGATCAACAAGTAAGCCGTCTCCCTAACACCCCCACTTCTCTGTCTGGTCATAATGGGCAACTTTAGGGTGCCGGGGCATCGTCGCGCTGCACGTGCGCGCCAGGGACCTCGCCTGCAAGTGCCCTAAGCTCAAGATCAACAAGTAAGATCCTCGTCTATAGATGCTATTGGCTATTCTGTCTCCCTAGCCCCCTACTTCTGCTCCAGCCATAATATAAAAGCGCGTGCGCGCCAGGGACCTCGCCTGCAAGTGCCCTAAGCTCAAGATCAACAAGTAAGCTCCTCGTCTACAGATGTTATTCCGTCTCCCTAACCCGGGTACTTCTCTGTCCAGCGTGCAAGCCGTGTAAAAGCACGTGCGCACTCGGGACCGCGGCTGCAAGTGCCTTAAGCTCAAGATCAACAAGTAAGCCGTCTCCCTAACACCCCCACTTCTCTGTCTGGTCATAATGGGCAACTTTAGGGTGCCGGGGCATCGTCGCGCTGCACGTGCGCGCCAGGGACCTCGCCTGCAAGTGCCCTAAGCTCAAGATCAACAAGTAAGATCCTCGTCTATAGATGCTATTGGCTATTCTGTCTCCCTAGCCCCCTACTTCTGCTCCAGCCATAATATAAAAGCGCGTGCGCGCCCGGGACCTCGCCTGCAAGTGCCCTAAGCTCAAGATCAACAAGTAAGCTCCTCGTCTACAGATGTTATTCCGTCTCCCTAACCCGGGTACTTCTCTGTCCAGCGTGCAAGCCGTGTAAAAGCACGTGCGCACTCGGGACCGCGGCTGCAAGTGCCTTAAGCTCAAGATCAACAAGTAAGCCGTCTCCCTAACACCCCCACTTCTCTGTCTGGTCATAATGGGCAACTTTAGGGTGCCGGGGCATCGTCGCGCTGCGCGTGCGCGCCAGGGACCTCGCCTGCAAGTGCCCTAAGCTCAAGATCAACAAGTAAGATCCTCGTCTATAGATGCTATTGGCTATTCTGTCTCCCTAGCCCCCTACTTCTGCTCCAGCCATAATATAAAAGCGCGTGCGCGGCCGGGACCTCGCCTGCAAGTGCCCTAAGCTCAAGATCAACAAGTAAGCTCCTCGTCTACAGATGTTATTCCGTCTCCCTAACCCGGGTACTTCTCTGTCCAGCGTGCAAGCCGTGTAAAAGCACGTGCGCACTCGGGACCGCGGCTGCAAGTGCCTTAAGCTCAAGATCAACAAGTAAGCCGTCTCCCTAACACCCCCACTTCTCTGTCTGGTCATAATGGGCAACTTTAGGGTGCCGGGGCATCGTCGCGCTGCACGTGCGCGCCAGGGACCTCGCCTGCAAGTGCCCTAAGCTCAAGATCAACAAGTAAGCTCGTCTCCTTAACCTCACACTTCTCCTCTAGTCATACTTGGCAAGATGAGCGCGCCGGGGCAGCCTCGCCTACGTGCGCGCCAGGGACCTCGCCTGCAAGTACCCTAAGCTCAAGATCAACAAGTGAGTGTTTCCTCTATAGGAGCTATTCTGAAGCGTGCTGCAGCTTCACGTGAAGCAGTAGCTGCATGCGTGGGAACACGACTGGTATTATATTGACGCTGCTACTGCCCGCTTTTACTCCCTCAAATCAGAGTATCAAATGGCAATGCCAGATTTTGTATGGAAAGTGGCGTCTTTTTTTTTTCGCGCGGCCATCGACCAAACTTTGTTTTTTGATTACAAAATAGTGTAATAAACCAAACTTACTGTGGCATGTATACCTCTAATCTCAGTCTAAAAGTTTGATGATTTTCATACTAGATTTTGCTTTTTGTGCGCAAGTTTTGTAAGAAATTGCAACAAAATATTGCGCTATTTTTTTATTGCGCTGATTCTGCTCCATACTGATGTCTGGAGCCTTTAATGGATGGTATTGTTTGTTTACACATACAATCTCACTATTTTGTTGCAATTTCTTACAAAACTTTGGGCGCAAAATCAAATCTAGTATGAAAATCATCAAACTTCTAACTCAGTTCAGACTGAGTTTAGAGGTATACATGTCATAGTAAGCTTGGTTTATTACACTATTTTGTAATCAAAAAACAAAGTTTGGTCGAAGGCCGCGCGAAAAAAAAAAGACGCCAATTTCCGGCATTGTCTTTTGCTGTGGATTCCAAGACCGCCAACTACTCAGCCTTCACTGGTTGGTATCCGCTCCTTGTTATACAGAAGTTGCAGGGTTAAAAACTATAATAAAAGTGGAAAGTCACTTATTTTTCTTGATTTGACTTTTTATGTTGCTAGCTACGAAAATACCTCTTCTTAGGCCAAGCTGAAACCCGAATTTCATTATTACACAATCCAAGTTCTCAAGAGAAGAATTTTCCATATCACGAGTAAAGCGAGCAGAAAACTTACATTATGCCATCTTCTCGCAGGTCATACCTAATCCTAGGAGTGGAAAAAGAAGGCTACGCGACGGGGCTGCCGGGACTGACGGTCGGCGACCGCACGCTGCTGCTGGAGTGGCGCGACGACTGGCACCGCCGCATCCGCCGCCTGCAACGCCGCGCCATCAACTGCCACTAGGCGCCGACGATGCCAAGCCAAGTGCCGCTGGCTGTGGGGCATCTGCCGCTAGAAGCAGGGCGGAGTAACTGCTGTTAGTTGCAGATTGTTTGCCGCTAGTTACAGGTCGTTTGCTAGCTATAGCGACTGCCGCTAATCGTAGAATAACTTCAGCTAGTAGCAGGAGATCAGCTGCAAGCCGTTAAGTGACTGCCGCTATTAGCAGGATGTCTTGTGGCTGTAGGGTAACTACCGTTAAACGCGGTGTCCCCTACTAGCCGTAGAATGTCTTCTTCTAGCTGTAAGATATCTGCTATTAGTTGCAACGTGTCTACTGCTACCCTTAAAGTAACTGCTGCTAGCTCAAAAAAAACTGTCGCTAGTTTCAGAGTGTCTGTCACTAGCCGTAAAATGTCTGTCTTTAGCTGTAAAGTAACTGCCACTAGCAGCAAAGTAGCTGCCACTAGCGGCAAAGTAACTACTGCTAGCAGCAGAGTAACCGCTACTACCAGAAGGCAACTGCCACTAGCAGCAAAGTAGCTGCCACTAGCGGCAAAGTAACTACTGCTAGCAGCAGAGTAACCGCTACTACCAGAAGGCAACTGCCACTAGCAGCAAAGTAGCTGCCACTAGCGGCAAAGTAACTGCCGCTAGTTACAAAGCTTCTTTTGCTGTCGCTAGTAGTAGAGTGTTTGCTCCGTAAAATAATAGCTGCTAATGGCAGGGAGTCTGCTGCAAGTCGCAGAGTGTCAGCTGCTAACTGTAAAATAACTGTAACTAGATGCCATAGGCTATCTGCCACTAGCGTGTCTTCTGCTAGCCGTAAATCAACTGCCGCTAGTTTCAGTCTTTGTTGCTAGTTGCAGAGTTTTTACCATTTGGTCATAGAGTTTCTACCGCTAGAAGCAGGTGGCCTGGCGCTAGTGGCAGAGTGTCTGCTGGTAGCAGTAAAGTAACTGCCGCTAGAAGCAGAATAACCGCCGCTAACTGAAAAGTAACTGCAGATGACCACGGCAAGCCACAGGCGACTTCCGACGATTAAAAAATCCGCGCGCGAGAGAGTTGACGTGACGGTGGTGTGTTTCCATGTGGTTTTGATCTGAATTGTTGTTTATGAGATTAAATGATAATAAGTATTTAATATTAATCACAAAAGCATTTGCTTTGACTCAGTCTGTACCCTACGATCGTATTATGTTCGAATTCGCTTTGAAATCTGAAACATTTTTAGAAGTAAGGATTGGACTTACCCTTAGCGGGGATTTATCAGCACACATAAGGGTTAATCCCTTTGTATTATTTGAAACTCTTTCACTAAAGTATTATGAATCAAAGTTTACCCTGTAAATACACCACTGAAACGTTGGCAACTCTTTTATTATCCCTCAACTTGGAGTTAATTCTAGACAGTAATTTTACATAGAATTGAAGTTTTGTCCAATTAACAATAAAATCATGTAAAATTATTGACTTGAAGTACAGTTCTGAGTATAGTCCAAGGGACAAGCTACAAAATTCGGCCATATTCCGTCTTTGTTCCGTGCTAATGTAACTGCCAACAAACGTGCTGTCTGATATCTCAATAATTTTAACTAGTCTCGATTAGGTAAAACTAGCTTTTTCATCCGACAAACATTTTTTAATCGTCAGTTTTATACCAAAAAAACAAACAGCTTATAATAATTTCTTTAACTTCCTTCCTAGGATTTCGTTACAAATGTACATTAATAATTATTTATTTATATAGACTAATTAATTGTAGATCGACGAGTTTCGTTCCATTTCTTGCATTTTTGTATATTTGTTACTTTATATCGAAAAATGCGCATGTTAATACTTGTTTTTGTACAACGGACGACAATTTTGACACGCGTCAAACGTCAACAGTTGTTTTGACAGCCGGTAAGTGTTCTGTCGGTGATTGTACAATTTAGATCTAGGTCATATCGCGTAGATCCACAAAACATAGTCACAATGGTTTAACGTACCTCATTTATTAAGTAAACTTAATAATTAAACTGGTAAGGGTTGCATATTAATTTACATAGTGGATAGTGTTAGATTTTTTACTTTTTACGCTAACTGCCGTTGGAATTAACTTTGTACTGTCTGTTTTTCATGTTTATTTTGTAAGTGAGTCTTGCCAAAGTACCATTTCGTAACTGTACAGACTAAGGTACTTAATTCTTTTCTATCCGCATATTTTGTTGGGAGATGTGTTTGGGGGGAGTGCGTTGCCTAAATGTGGGGTGTGTACAGTATTATTAGCTTTACTAAGTTAAATGTTATTTATAAGTGTTCTTTCGTTTTAAAAATGTGCACAGCGATGCCGGAGGTGTAATCATTGGCAATTGACTTGTCAGTATCAATCTCGTGGGTACAGTTATGCGCGGAGTGCTATATCAAACTGATACACGCTTCGACAATTTAGTGGCGTTTGTCCGCAATCACCGGACAAAAATGACGCTATATTACGGTGCGTCGTGTCGTGAACGGTATTTATCGATAATACTTTTATTTATTGCTGTTTCAATGTAATATTAAAATAATAATTGATGAGGTGTGAACATTTTCCACTTAAATTCCTATAAAGATAACATTGTTGCAAATTATGCATATTTTCACGTTAAAAGTATACATTATAATATTATAAAAACGAAACCAAAACATATGTTGTGACACTTTTTAAAACGGAAGATAAATATAATTCATAAAGATAAAAATACCTATTTAAATGACTTAGGATTCGCTTGATCGTAATACGGATTGTAAAAAGTGTATTTAGTTGTAGAATTGATCTATTAACCTGTTTCTAGTTATGCATATCTTTAGGTTTCGTAATATCTTAGTATAATGAAATATTTTTTGTGCACTTATCAGTAAAAAAAATCAGTTAATAAATCGTTAAATGTATAAAGAACGGTTCAATTAATGTACTTACCAAGAAAAGAGAGAAAAAAAATACAATTTTGAGAGTGCACAAGAAATATTTCAAACAAAATATATCAGATCGTATAGTGATAGTCAGTTTGTATTTTTACCGATTATGTGAATATTGTATGTTTGTTCAAACCATAATAATACAATACATAACGACGTAATAACTTTTATGTTTCAATAACAATTTAACAGAAGTGGGCTGAAATAATTATAGGCCAGGTAAACAACACAGATTTACCTTTTTTTATTTCATCAGAAGAATAATTTTCGAATATTTTTTTGCTATTAGAACCATTTGGGACAATTTTTAAAACATCAAATAATTTATTTTTCAGAATATTAATCGCTTAAAAATATCTTTCTTATTTATTATAATAATCATTCGTTGATTTAATGACACATAAGTTATTAACGCACAAAAATGGCCTAAATGCTTCCTGTAAAAGATCATTAATACAATTATTAACAAACAGTAGCGACTGCGAACTGTACTTGTTCTTACAAAATAAGTATTAATTTATCTAAATATATTTTGTAGTGTATAATTTTTATATGTGTAACTTAAGGGATTCGTCAAATGTCAATTGAGGCATCATTTTCCTATGAACCATAGGCAAATTTAATTTAAAATAAAATAAAATCTTCACAAACTGTCCATCATAACTATTTTGCTCTTAACAATAAAAAATACCGAGAAAAAACAGAACACAAATTATTTGGCAACTCAATTGACTTGACTTTTGACATTAAAGATAATTCAACATTTTTCAGTTAATAAAAACAGGTTTAAGTCTAAATAATAAATAAAAAAATTAAGATTATAAATAAAATATTGTCAACAACATACTAACAATTATGTTATTGTCTATGGTCGTAGCAAAGTGCGTTGGTAGAGTATTCGCTATGAACTTGAATTGTGTTTTTATGATACCCTGCTCCTGTGATGTAATAAATGTTATTGGTTATATTTATTTAAAATAAAACTACATTAATATACAGATATGTGTTTTGATCCCCTAATTTTTATTCTAAAATGTATTGATTGAATGTTTAAAAAGACATAAAAAAGCGAAATGTATATACACCCAAAAATTATAAGTCATAGACTTTACGCGAATCAAACTTATTTTTTCCCAATTGCAAGCTTTATGTTTATCTTGGGTTTCTTTATTGAACCACCCATTTCAATTTATACATGCCATAAAAAGTTTGTTCACTAGCCCTTGAAAAATGTAAATTATCAATTTTCAGGTATAAACGCTAAATAAAAGCATGACTTCATTACGAGTTTGTAAAACAAAATGAACTTGTTAACACAAGGGCAGACACGTTAAGGGTCCGACTTTATCCCAAAACCAATAAAACAAATGTGCCGACCGCAAAGATGATTTCCCAAAGGCAACTTAGGGTCACTAAAATTTACACACACCTTGGATAGAAAAAAAGAAAAGTAGAAATAGTGGCAATTTAAATTATTCCTCTGTATCTATTCAGTTATAAGAGATCAAATAAACACAAGTTACAATTTTTAATTAAAATTAATAAAAAATCTAACTAAAATAAAATCGATCGATCAATATTTTGACAATTCTATTTTGACATTCAAAAGTACCCAAATATTGGCAGAAACAAACCTCCCAGTGGCTCCCAGACCGGAGGTTTAAAAACAAAAAAAAAATGACGATAAAAGAGGGTAGATTTTTTAAGTCAAATGTCAAGTTACCCTACTCTATGATAGAAATTTAGTTTGCATCAAGACTTCACAGTGAGCGTTTGTGTTGCTCAATTTTATTAATTGATCCAAAAACGCATTTATCAGTGTGATTTAGGTTATTACCTACCTATGATTAATTATTATCAAGTGTAGAGCAGTGTTATGTTATGGGTGTGTAAGACAATATGTTAAAAGTGAGTTGGTGTAATATTGAGAGCAGAAAGCAGACTTGTAAGTACCTTTTAACTACCTACTTTTATTTTTATATTGCGATTCTCTTTTAAATATTGTGAAATCAGGCGAATAATTGTATTACATTATAACCCTTATAAATTATAACCTCTTAGAATCCCATGTTTCCAAATTATAATAATTTTAAAATTTTCAATTTAGCACGCAAAATCTTTCAGTTGCGTTTACGTTCCTATGATCTGCAACTCCATGGCCGCAGCAGCGTCCATCTTGGAAAAATGCAATTTGTTTTGCCCAGCACGTGTCGATGTGTCCTGTCGTAGGCCGCCATACCCACGGGACCCTTGCTTTTGGCTTTCAAACTTTTTCCATTTGCCTAGATTTGATTTTGAATTGAAAGATAAAACCAAGCCAATTTAGGCAAGTCCAAATTTTATTTTAAATTGTTTACAATTTTTTATCAAAAACTTTGTGGCAAGTAGGTACGTAGGTTTTATGTAACTATGTGTACCTCATTCCATTACTAAACCTGTTACAATTTTCACAATGAAATAGACTCGTTTGGCGACAGTAATAAAGATGTACCTACCTACCTAGCCTTCTTAATTAGCAACGCTATCGCGCTAATAATACAAATCTCATTTTGCAAAAAAGAAGGGATCCTCTCAAGGGATATTAGATGAGCCTTTTATCTATCTCTACGCTTTCTTCATTAATGTCGTAACCTAAGGAAATAACGGTAATTCATACCGTCTGTTTTTTATTTACTTACGAACTCCCAACACTCCATCTTCCCGATACAATCGAAGTCTTATTCCCTCATCATAGCTGATAGCGCCCACGTGTAACGGTCATCTTGGGCAACGTTTGCTTGTGATTAAAATGTGCGTACGCGCACACACAGAAAGTTTATTACAGGCTATTGTTGATGTTAAATATGACCCGCGATGGATAGGCCTGACGCGGACTTGCGACTAGAGTGGATTCGGCGCCGGAAACGCGACAAAATTAGAGTAGAATGCACTTGCAAGTGCAACGCTACTTTCTTTACAATTCATTCTACATTTCGTTCTACGTATTGGGTACCTTCTGGGTAATGGCATCATGGTACCTACGTATTAATTGACCACTTTACTAAATTGCAAGTAAAAACACTTGAACCCAATTCTATTTCGTATTCAGCTGATTTTGGAAATCGTCATGGGTATTTATGGTACGATAATGTCCAAAAGTAGACGTAAAAGAAATACAAAAACCACGTAGGGCGTTCAGTCGGCCTTAGGGAACAGAACAATCGCACAATAGTACGTCGTGATCGGGCACTTGTTACGATCGAGTTAGAGTTAGCGGATTTGTATCGCCGTTGCAGCGTGCACTTACTACATAGACGGGAATTCTAGGAACAGTTGAACTTTCGTATACTTCTACTTACATGGAAGCTCCAAAAGCCACCAATCTGTCTATTAAAACATAACCCTCATTCTGGCGCAGTCGGGTAAATATTAAAAAGGCAAAATTTTACGGACCAATGCATTTAAATACTGATTAGTCCGACGACTTTTTACCTAAATCTCGATTCCATCTCAGTCATTGTCAATATTGAAAATCAATCAATGAAACAGTTCAATCCATGCTAGACTTTGTATTGATTTGATCGCTTTGAGCTTCGCTCTGCAATAACTTTTAAAAGTCGTGCGTGTTCGGGCGGCCTTAAGGCACAGAACAATCGCAAGCGCATCGTGATCGGGCACTTGTCGCGGGAGTGTTCGCCGCCATTGTAGCGGGCCACATAAATATTATTATAGCAATAGTAGAACTTAAATAGTGCTTACGGAACTGATAGTCCAGTCAATAAAGCATTATAGATGGAAATCCGTGGAACACAATTTTTGACTTCGGGACTTTATTTAGACTAGTTAGGAGATGAACATAGCAAAAGTCCCCGCCCTTAGCCCTTGGGCCGCCGGAGAGAGGGGGGTTTAAAGGTACCACTTTTCGGTTTTTCGCTTAATCCTCGGAAACTATGCGTCCTAGTGACATAACTACTATGAACCAAAAAAAGCTTATTCAATNTTGTCTTCTGTTATATTTTGTGCCTGTAGCAAATTGAATAAGCTTTTTTTAGTTCATAGTAGTCATGTCACTAGGACGCATAGTTTCCGAGGATTAAGCAAAAAACCGAAAAGTGGTACTTTTAAACCCCCCTCTCCCCGCCGGCTTAAGGGCTAAGGGCGGGGACTTTTGTTATGTTCACCTCCTAACTAGTCTAAATAAAGTCCCGAGGTCAGAAATTGTGTTCCACGGATTTCTCTCTACACCGTCGTTAAAGTATTCATTGACTGGACTATGACTGTTGTTTCACTTGTACTTTCACAAATTATTAGTAACAATGAAGATCTTTAAAACTGCGGTAATTACTTACTTAGTGGGCAGGACCGACGATCTGGTGAAGGTCGCGGAAATTGCCTGGATACGAGCGGCACAGGACCGGTCTATGTGAAAATCGTTGAGGGAGACCTTTGTCCAGCAGAGGACGTCTTTCGCCTGAAACGAACGAACTTACTTAGTTATTCAGGCAACGGTTAGCTAAGAAGAATCCATTTTTCGCTTAAAATCACAGAGGTAGAGATAGTAAGTTGTTGTTGAAACACACATATAAACTTTACCCAACTTCTGTAATATTTTATAATAATTGTAAGATTTTGACAATAGTTTTCTTTTATTACTTGGTGTTATAAATGTTTTCTGTGTCAATTTTATTTATATTTCTATAGTGTGCAATATCTATCTGTCTATTATAACCAAATTCTTAAAAAACCGTACCTAGCAAACTCTTCCGCCTCTCTATACTCCATTACCTACCCACCATCGCTGTCAAAACACCATGACTGCGCAAACCGGTCAAAGGCGCCGCGCCAATGATCCATGGGACTGGCGAGGACTCCTCCCAGGCAAAATGATGGATATATTTACCCGACTGCGCCAGAAGGAGGGTTATTTATGTTTGAAGAAGTAAATATACTAAAAGTAAATAAATATTAGGATAGGAACTCCTGACAGCAGTCAAGGAACTTATAACAGAAATAGGTAAAAAATCATTTTTTAGAATTGCTTTATTACGTTTATAAATTACATAGATCAATAAGATGATGTGAACAGCTAGGGACTGGAATTCGCTGCCTGATGCTGTCTTTCCTGAACACTATAATTCGGGCCTTCTCAAGGCGAGAGCGAATAGGCACTTACAGGGCAGATTTAGTACCATCCTAGACTGCATCTCACTTAACACCAGATGCGATTGCGTCTAAATACCAGCCTTATTTTGCATAAAAATAAGATAAATATTCCAATTCCATTATATTTTCATTATCCATTAGGTTATAAGGAATCGGCTTTCCAAAGGTCGCTGGTTCAGTCCCGACTGTACCAGTGTAGCCGACCACTAATCTATTGAGTGGTGGTAGTTTCCACCGATAGAGGCATAGACCCTATTTTTTTTAGTTAACTAGAGAAGTTGACGAGATTTTTACGTGATTTTTTTACGTTATTGTATGTAAGTGCCCCCTACTTCGGTATATTAAGGCTCTTAC